TTAAAATATAAACATTAAATCAATGAAGAAGAACATAACAAGATAAGATAATTTAATTAATGCGCAACATTGATCTACACAATTTAAAAATATAACCTTTTATATTTAACCCGTGTACACACTCGTCACCTCGTGTACATGACTTTTCACACATTACAATTATCAATCATAGGAAAAATTTTTCCCACACAAAGTTAGACAAGTCACTTACCTCGACTTGCTCCAATTTAATCAAGTAGTATGCATTTTTCTCGATTTTTCGACTCCGATCGACTCGAATCTAGTCATAATTAATTCAATACAGTCAATAAAAATTAAAGGAATCAATTTCATAAGAAAATACTATATTTTTCAATAAAATCCGAAATTAACTCAAAAATTGCCCGTGGGGCCCACATCTCGGAATTCGGCGAAACTCACCGAATCCGATAACCCATTCAATTACGAGTCCATCCATACCAGTTTTACTCAAATCCGACTCCGAATCGACACCGAAATCTCAAAAATTCGTTTCTATGTGATTTCTAAAATTTCTCAAATTTCAATCTCAAAACACTAATTAAATTGTGAAAACAATAATATATTCGTGTATATTGACCAAATATGAGTTAGAATCACTTACCCCAATGTCTTTTCCTTGAAAATCTATCAAAAATTGCCTCTGCTCATGCTCTAGTTTGTTAAAAATGGCGAATGGGACGAATGCCCTCCTTTATAATTCTGCCCAGGCCGCCCTCGATCATGGCCCTCGATCATGACCCTCGATCCTGGCCTTCGATCCTGGGGCTTCGATCATAGCTTCGATCATGGCTTCGATCATGGGGCTCGATCATGGCTTCGATCATGGGCTGTCTCGATCTTGGGCTCGGTCACAACCCAGAATTTTCAGCAGAAGAGGAAAATTGCAGCAGCTTTTTAAGTCCAATATTTGATCCGTTAACCATCTGAAACTCACTCGAGGCCCTCGGGACCTCTACCAAATATACCAACAAGTACTAAAATATGATATAAACTTATTTGAAATCTCAAATCACATAAAACGACGCTAAAATCGCGAATGATGCTCCAATTCAAGCTTAATGAAACTTAGAATTTCAAACTTCTACATTCGATGTCGAAACCTATCAAATCAAGTCCGATTGACCTCAAATTTTACACACAAGTCATAAATAACATAACGGATCTATGAAAAGTTTTGGAACTGGATTCCGACCCCGATATCAAAAAGTCAACTCCCCGGTCAAACTTCCAAACTTAAATTCCTATTTTAGCCATTTCAAGCATAATTTCACTACGGACTTCCAAATAAAATTCCGATCATGCTCCTAAGTCCAAAATCACCATACGCAACTGTTGGAATCATTAAAATTTTATTCCGGGGTCGTTTGTATATAATTCGACATCCGGTCACTATTTAAACTCAAACTTTTAATTTTTCATCAAAATTCTATATCTCGGGCTAGGTACCTCAGAATTTAATTCCGGGCATATGCCCAAGTCCCAAATCACGATACGGACCTACTGAAATTATCAAAATACTGATCCGAGTCCGTTTGCTCAAAATGTTGAACAAAGTCAACTCATTTGAGTTTTAAAGTTCTAATTCACATTTTAATCTATTTTTCACATAAAACAATTTTGGAAAATTTTACGGACTGTGCACGCAAGTTGAGGAATGATAAATAGTGCTTTTCGCTGTTTTAGAATATAGAATTAATTATTAAATTTAAAGATGACATTTTGGGTCATCACAAATATTTCTTAAAACATAATAGTCACTCTAATATTGACGATTTAGACTTATTTTTTGAATTAAAAGTGTTTAGACTTACTAAGAGCAACGTCTCAAGAAATATTAAATGAATTAACTATATTATCAATTGAAAAGTAATTAGAAGAAATTGATTATAACAAAAAGTAACTTTGCATCTCACAAGGCTAAAAAAAATATACTTCACATAAATTAAGATTTTTTTTTATGTTTAAGGCCTCCTTTAAATTTTGGCTTTAGGCCCCTAGTGTGGTTGTGCTGCTCCTGGTGAACACTGGCTACTTTTCAATAAACACCCTTAAAAATGACTATGTCATGCCATTTTGACCTTTATTGGAGAATTTCACTCTTCAAACTTGGATCAATGTTCTCTAAAATAGAAACTCTTCAAGCATTATATACGGCGGAACCAGGATTTTTGACAATTAAATTTTAAAAAAAAATTAAAAACATCACATTTAGATTTAAACTTGTATTTTCCTTATGTTAATATGATTCAAAACTTTATATACATATATAAAGAATTTATTTATTCTAATTACACAATGTAACTTTTCGGCAAATAAATTCTCTTAGGTTATACGTGGCTTCGCCATTTGCTATCTATACTATATTAAAAGCACGAACGCCCTTAGTGAAATGTCGTTCGCCTGTTTTACCCTTTAAAACTAGAGTTCATACTAGACAAAATAGTCATTTGATTTTTTTTTCTAATATTTAGGACTCCAAAATCAACTAAAATTTTAATTGTTAAAATATTTCCGTATGAAAATTATATAAAAAGTCCTAATATTTAAGATTTTAAAATCAATCAAACTTTTATCTCTTATAAATCCTTTCCTTATTCAACCCATGTAATGTATAAAATTACTTTGTGAATAAGGACGTTTTCTATTAGTCAAAAACAACAAACTCTCTTTGCCTATTCAAGCCTTAATTCATGTAGAAATTGAGCTCGGAAGTTCAGGAATCTCCATCTTAATATAAGACGTATGTTATATATATTTTTCGTGGAAAAACCATTCTTATCAATGCAACACATATACTCTAAGCACGAAGCCCCTTAGTAAATGTAGTTCGCTTTTTTTTTTTACTCTTTAAAAATAAATTTTACATTAGACAAAATAGTCATTTACTTATTTTTATAATATTTAAAATTCCAAATTAATTAAAATTTACTTATTAATTTATTTTTCTTTATTTGAACTATATATAATGTCCTAATAATGTGGATTTAGGAATACAAATTTAATTAAAATTTTATTTTGTATAAAATTTCCATATTTGACCAACTTTTACACAGCATATGAACTTCATAAGTGCTTTTGGAGTTAAATAAGTGACTATGAAAAAATTCTTATTCTTAGTCTCTGACGTATATAAATTAGTATTTTTCTCTCCAAGTATTACCAATAACTTATTACCTACAAATCATGATACATCAACATAACGTTCATTTTTCCTTTAACTTTTAAGAGTTTGATTAAATTTAAGTATCAATATGTAGAAGTTTCAACTAACATGGCAATATTAATTTAAAGAATAAATTCAGCTACAATAATACTAGTATAAAATTGTAACTATGTTACCCCTATGATGTATCTACTTTAACAATTTAGTTTATTAATAAAATCAATCCTCTTCAACCAAAAAGAGTTAATAATTTATTTGAAACTGTAAAATAAATATAATATTTTATTCATAGTTTGAAAAATTATCCTTAGCACTGTAAACTCTTAAAATTTCAGAGTACTCACTAGAACTCTTGAACGAGTCAACAAGAGAATTTAGATTTAAACCATTTCTTCCACTTGAAAAGACTGACTTGCGTCCATAAGTACTAGACATATGAATATAGGCTTCTTCTTTTTTTGACTCAAGAAAATGTCCACTTAGCTTATAACCTATTATGTGATGAACTTTTAATGAGCACATAAAAATACTTAAGTTGCAAAAATAAATTTTATACCATGTTAAAACTAGACATATAAGAATGATTTTATAAAAAGATGTCATGTAAAATGCAACACATAACATATTTGTATCTTATATAGTAAGATATTTATAACTACAAATACTATATAACTAACTCAACTAAATTCATCAATCAGAAAATATTGAATTTAACTATTGTTCAATGTAATAACATTCATTTGCATCATTTAGACAAGTATTACATTTAGTTTAATGTCACTACTATTTTCCAATAATATGTTTGTCTTGTGTACGTTTTATACTGGTTGACTCAATGAACACGTGCAACACATCAGGGGCGGAGCTACAATAGAGGATGCGGGTTCGGGCGAACCCAGTGACTTTTTCCGAGACCCTGTATTTGTATTGAAAAATTTACTATTTCTATATAAATATATCATGCCGAACCCTAGTAACAAAAGATGTTTGAGTTCAATGGTAAGAGTTCTGGGTTCGCGCAGAGAACACGTGGGTTCGAATCCCGCTTGAAGCAGTGTGTTATTTTGTTGTTTTTTACAAAACAAAAAATATCAGAAAGTACAATTGTTTTTTACAAAACAAATATCAGAAAATACAAACTAAGGACAATGTAATTCTCGAACAACTACAAAAAGAATTTCAAAAAGTACAAACTACCGACAATGTAATTCTCAAACAACTCTAAAGGACACTTTTTGACTTACTTTAGACTAAAATTTATTCTTTTTAATACATAAAACATAAAGCATTTTCTCTTTCTAATAAACAATTCATTTTAAACAAAAACAGCCAAGTGCCAACACACCTTCGCCTTTCTAATTCTCAAATCAAAAAGCTAGATTTCTTTGCCTGTTAGTCTTTTGATGATTTGATCGCTGCTACAACCCTCTGCCGGAGCCGGATGCCCTCAAACTCTCGTTGTGTATGCTCTTACTCTCTTAGAAGTTAGACCCTTCTTTCTTCTTCAATTCCTCTTTCCTGATTTTTTCTCTTCATGTTTTCCTCTTATATTTTATATTTGACAATTTATACAAAATCTGATTTTTAATCTTTGATTTTAGGGTTGTCCCACATTTTGAACTTCATTCTCTTTGTCAATTTGTGCTTTTGTACTTTTCAAAAGTACAAACTTGAATTCTCCGACAAATCGATACACAAGGTATGTAGTCCTACTTTTCTGTTTTTAATTTCTGAGACTAACTTTTCGGTGTAATTTTGTTTTGTAATTTTTAGGGTCTTGAAGTATAATTTTTAGGGTCTTCTAGCAAAAGTCGATATGATCACGAGTTTTTACAAAGCTCAAGCTTCTGCATCTTCTTCTAGCTCTCCTTTGTCAAGTTCTCTATGTCCAGTTATTAGTAACAATATTAATCCTTCCCAAGCATCGGATAAAGTGTTGAATTATGAGCCCGATCCCGGTGAAAGAAAACTAATTTCAGCATATTCACCTAATTTACGTGATAGAGTTAGGAGAAATTATATACAAAATGGACCTTGTCAACCTCGTGATTTTGTCTTTCCAAAAAGAGATTTTGGAGGAATAATGAGTCAGTTTAGTCCTGAATGGTTTAAAACTTCATGTTCTCAATGGTTAGAATATAGCATTAAACAAGATGCAGCATTTTGTTTATGTTGTTACTTGTTTAAAAATGAGATTGGAGGATATGGGAAAAAAGTAGGTGATGCTTTCACAACAAATAGTTTTAGAGGTTGGAATAAAGGTTTAGAAAGGCTTAAATCATATGTGGGTGATGTGAATAGTGTTCATAATCGATGTTTCAAGATGATGCTAGATTTAATGAATCAAGAACAATCTATTCTAACATCTTTGGACAAGCAATCTGAGAAAATTAAAACTGAACATCGAGTTCGCTTGAATGCTTCAATTGATGTGATAAGGTATCTTTTGAAAGAAGAAATGCCTTTTCGGGGCCATGATGAAAGTGTCACTTCTACAAGAAGAGGCCATTTTTTAGATCTTTTAAAATGGCATGCGGATAGGAAGGAAGATGTGAAAAATGTGGTATTAGAAAAAGCTCCAAAAAATAACACCATGACTTCTCCTGATATTCAAAAAGATATTGTGAATTCTTGTGCAGAAGAAACAGCGAAAGCAATTATTGAAGACTTGAATGGGGATTTTTTTGGGATATTAGTTGATGAGTCTAAAGATGTCACTCATAAGGAACAAATGGCTCTTGTGCTGCGCTATGTCAACAAAGATGGTGAACTTATTGAGCGATTCCTTGGTCTTGTTCATGTTAAAGATACAACTGCACATGCATTATAAAAAGCAATAAATTCTATGCTTTTACAACATTCATTGAGTTCATCTTTAATACGGGGACAAGGGTATGATGGAGCTAGTAACATGCAAGGAGAAATTAATGGTCTTAAAGCTTTGATTCTGAAAGATAATCCTTCGGCATATTGCGTACATTGCTTTCCTTATCAATTGCAATTGACTCTTGTAGCTGTTGCAAAGAAACACCATGATATAAATAATTTTTTTGACATTCTTGCTAATGTTCTGAATGTTGTTGGAGGTTCTTATAAGCGTAGGGAGATGCTTAGAGATGATCAAGCTAAAAAATTAGATGAGTTATTAGTGATTGATGAAGTTCATACAGGAAGTGGATTAAATCAAGAACTTGGGCTTCAAAGACCAGGTGATACCCGTTGGGGATCTCACTTTAAGACATTGCGCAACTTTATATCTTTATTCTCATCAATTGTTCATGTACTTGGAGTTCTTGCAAATGAGAGTTCAAATTATCAGGAGAAAGCACTGGCAAAAAGTCTAGTGGAAGATATAAGATCTTATGAGCTTGTGTATATATTACATTTGATGTTAAAAATAATGGCAATTACATATTATTTGAATATGAATCTGCAAAGAAAATATCAAGATATTGTTAATGCTATGAAACTTGTTCATTTCACAAAGAGGCAATTGCAAACAATGAGGGAATCTAAATGGAATTCTTTGTTAGAAGATGTCTCTTCGTTTTGTGATAAGAATGGTATTATGATCCCAAAAATAGATGAGAAGTATGGTCTTGGAAAGTCGAAGCGTAAAAGCTCAACTTTTACATATTCTCATCATTTGCATGTAGAAGTTTTTTGTGCCGCTATTGATTTGCAACTTTCGGAGCTTAACAATCTTTTTAGTGAAGTGAATACTGATTTGCTTCTTGGTATGGCTAGTTTGAGTCCCGATGATTCTTTTGCAAATTATGATAAAAACAAGATTATGAAACTTGCTACATATTATCAAAATGAGTTCACTGCTTCTAAGCTTGAAGATCTTAGTTTTGAGCTTGATAATTATATTGACTATGTTCGAGAAATGGACAATGCATTCTCTAACTTGAAAGGGCTTGGCGATCTCTCGAAGACATTGGTTAAGACAAATATTCACAAGACATGGGGAATTGTTTATTTGCTTGTGAAGCTAAGTTTGATATTACCCGTGGCTACTGCAACGGTCGAAAGGGCTTTTTCCTCAATGAAGTTTATTAAAATTGACTTGCGAAGCAGAATTGGTGATGACTTTTTGAATGATTGTTTAGTTTGTTATATAGAGGATGGAGTATTTGAAAGTGTACCTAATGATGCGATCATTGATCGTTTTCAAAACATGACAAGTCGTCGAGTTCAATTGAAATGATAATGTTTATATTCATATATTGTGTTTGTCTGGTTCGTTACCTTTAATATTTATTAGATATCGATACTCATTCTTTAGTCAGCTTGTTATTGTATATTAGTTTTAGATCATCGTCTTTTCTTATAATTTAGAACTCATACAATTTAAATTCTAGCTCTGCCTCTGAACGCATGTACACTAAAACTAGTATTATTGAAGAGTCAACACACATAACCAATTTAAATCTTACGTTCTTTGACTAAGTTGTTAAATAATTACCCGCGTGCTTGTCAAATTAGTCATCTTTTTCGGCTTTCTTTAATTTTTGGTTGGATGGAGAGAGTGACGGTAGTGGACCATAGGATTTTAAGTAAACAATATGATTAATCTATTGTCATAATTTTGTTTGTAAGTTGGAGTTTGGACAGTAGTGGGTTTAAAGTTTTACTTCTTATTTCAAATTGAAATTAAATTTATATTATTACGAGCAGTTTCAATCAATTATGCATAGCATGCACTCTCTTTGTTAGAGTTTATGCTATATCTTATTTTTTTTTAGTCCATTTCAAAAAGTATTTTCTAAAATAATTTAATTAAATTTTTTATTAGTTTTTATAATCACATATATATCATGGTATATATATTTGAAATCACAAGTTTCAAAAACGTTAAAGTCACAAAAATATTATAGTTTGCATATTGTTTATGGTCTAGCATGTCATACCATTCGTATTATATGTTGAAAATGATGAGTTCAGCTGAACGACTCTTAACACCCTAGATATGTGTGTTTGCAGCTATGCAACTGGGGTTCTTGAATGAGTTGATAGAGGGGGGAGGGGTTCTTTTCAAGATTTGGGTGGTAACACTCCTACTTTCCTCTTTCTTTTTCTCTTTGAAAAGGATATTCTAATCAAATAAAGACTTGTTACATCTTTGAAACATTTTTGTAATTTACCTTGCATTTTCTTATTGTGATTAACCTGGTATCTTGGCAAGAAAAAAGAAGAAGGATGTAATGTATATATGAAACAACAAATGATATAGTGCACGTAAAGATAATGTTGCGCGCCTAAATTACTTGGAAAATCGAGAGAAAAAAATTAGTGTGGAAATCAAAGATTCCATCTTTCTTACAGCAACAGATGACGGAAAATAAATCCTTCTGGAAAAGACAATTGCATTGTTTCACACAATTAAGAAAATTGCTGAAAACATTCGCCCACCGTGGGGCTCGAACCCACGACCACAAGGTTAAGAGCCTTGCGCTCTACCAACTGAGCTAGACGGGCTAGTGTTCTAAAATTTATTCTGCGACGAATTGATCCCATTTAAAAAGAAAACAAAAGAACAGGGAAAAAAGGTGGGGCAGGCCATTCTAACAATTACTGCAGAAATCCATAGTCTACAACCTTGCACAGTGTCCTTAGCAAAACAAATCATCGCTAAACAGAATCTCAACAACAACAAATCCAGTATAATTTGACGAGTGGGGTTTGGGGAGGATAGTGTGTACGCAGATCTTATCCGTACCTTGTGGGTAGAGAGACTGTTTCCGATAGACTCCGGCTCAAAGAAAGCAGTAACAACAAGATAATAAGAAAATAAGCAGTAACAATAACAAGAAAATAAGAGAACAAGCAGTATCAACAGCAATATAATAAGAAAACATGTAGTAATCAAGACTGTCAATAACCGAATACAAGGCTGACTACTACTACTACCGGTACAGGGAAGACACACACTCAGACTAACTACTAGCCTTCTACCCTAATTCTCGACCTCTACACCTTCCTATCAAGGATCATGTCCTCGGTGAGCTGAAGCAACGCCAAGTCCTGTCAAATTATCTCTCCCCAGTACTTCTTTGGCCTACCTCTACCCCTCTTCAGACCATCTGAGGTCAACCTCCCACACCTCCTCAGTGGAGCATTTGAGCTTCTCCTCTTCACATGCCCAAACCACCTAAGTCTCGCTTCTCGCATCTTGTCATTCCACCGAGGCTACTCCTACCATGTCCCGAATATCTTCATTTCTAATCTTATCAATCTTGGTATGTCCGCATATCCATCTCAGCATCCTCATTTCCACTACTTTCATCTTCTAGACATGAGAGTTCTTGACTGGGCAACACTCTGAATCTCGACAGACCTAAATAAATGCCTTGCATCCATTAAACATTTGCTGCACTCCAGTAAACATTTGGACTTCTGGACTTCTGGTGGTCTATTGGAAGATGAGATAAACAAGATGGTTAGGGAACATGAAATGCATGCCCAGGCAAAGGCCAAAAAGGAGGTCTCCTATTTCTCGTCTCATAGAGAATCTCCGCATTGCGGATCGCCTGAAACAGCTCTCTTTCGATTTGGCTCAAATACCTATTTAAGGTATTTTCAGAAAGTGCAGAAACTACAATATTCAGTATTGAAAAGAGCTTGAAGGACTACAGTGCAGAAACTACCATAAATGTATTTTCCTCGTATTCTTTTCCCCACAAATGTGTATATACCAATACAGATATGGTAGCTACCGGTTGTCTTCTTTCTAGTTTCTATATCTACTGCTAGAGAATAGTAGCTCTAATTCTGAATGTTTCCTTATTACGTACATTCAACTATTAATATCGTTCGGTTGACCCCTATATTAAGAAATTCAATAGATTTTAGTAGTAACATAACCATTAACTGTGATTTTATTTGTTGGTAGATTTATTCAGTCTAATATCATGAATACTGAGGGATCACAATTATCCTTTTACTTGAAAAATACTAACGTAATAGATCGGAACTATAATAGCAGCTAATAAGTAAAGTAGTTAATGTGCTGGGGAGGGAGGGGGGAAAGACATATCCTCACAGGTTAGTTGTTTCACTACTTCTCCTACATCCAAAAATATAGGATCTTAATTACTGCCAATTCAGTAACATCAAGTTGGAGGAAAGAAGAAAAAGCTTGTGTATAAATATTTGTCAAATTTATTCAAACAAGATTAGCAATCAACTCAAATTAAAGAGATTATAAATCCAAACTGACTAGCACGTTTCGAAAAAGGGAACGACATAGAGCAGAATCTAACTGGCCTGCTTTTCATCAAATTTACAAAGTTACAGATTCATGTTTCAGAGTCTTATTCACATACTGAACCTATGCAATCATAGTAAGAGTGGCAAGAATGCTAAATACTAAGAAATAAGAACTGTAAAATCTATGTTTTTACAGCACGCTCACCAAAAACAGGATAATAAGTATCCAGCTCAAGTAGTTCTAAAATCTCTTGGGTTGCCCATAGGTACGACGAATGACCCTCGATGAATTCAGTTACATCAACCTGTTAAAAGCAATGAGGCATCAAATAAATTGAACTTCAACTAAATGGAGACGACTGGAATATAGAAAACAGAAATTGGGCATAAAAACTTACATTTTCAACGCCGGGAACCTCAACTGGTTGAATACCAGCCAAGCCTTGAGTAAGGAGACTGTAGAAGAAATTACAGAAGTCATCACAATAAAGAGAAGCAAAAACGACACATCAAACATGAAAGCAGATATAGGGGAATCCCTGAAACCGTCAAATATATTCCAGCTGCAGTAGTTCACATGAAAGCAGATACGGGGTTTCATGTAAACCGGTGAAATATGTTGCAGCTGCAGCAGTTAACATTTTCAACATCAGTACTATGCTAGCGGATAATGCATACCTGGCACGAAAGGCAACTCCAAGCATCCAATCATTTGTAGAGTAAGCATTCACAAATCTACCAGCTACCACCTGCAAAACAAGAACAGAGAGCTTCGCATATAAATGAGGTTGAAGCCCTATACCAGTAAGGAAACAAAATATAAAGAAAAAGATGGGAGGGAAGGGGGAGGCCCAAGATTTATTAATTAGAAGTAGTTAAAATCAAGAAAAGCACGACAATGAAAACCTTTCTAGCTGCTTCCCAGTTCATATCTTTAATTGCAATGGGTGCCCCGAGAAGAACAACCCTTTCCACTAGTCCAGCTGCCAAAATTTAGAAAGTACTTCAGGATCACAGGAAGCAACTCAACAATCAGTAAATGAAATTACTACATCTCAGCTCAAATTAGTTGTTGTCTAAGAAAGCAAATGATGATCAATCTAAAAAGTAAAATAAATTNATAAAAACGAACACTTACAATTATTTTCAGTCTCAGCCAGAATCTGGAGACATTTAAAAATAACTCTTGCCCCTAGTGAAAATCCTACAAGTGTCACAGGCCTGAAACATTCATGGACAACCAATAATGGAATTGTCTAACACGTAAACCCAAACTTTCAGGACAATCAATTGAAATTTTCTCCAAATTATATTTAAAGCTTGTATACCTGTGCCCTTGTAATCCTTTTTTCAACACTTCTGCCAGGAGTACTCCTGCTTTATCAGATCTGCAAATGCAAATTCAGACTTTTTTTTTCCAATCAAAGAAATATGATACTCCGCTTTCGACACAAAATGGTATAGTATAACTGCTCGATGATTTAAGCAATAGGATTCTGGAGCATAATCAGCACCATTGGAAAAGGGAAAGAAAGGAGGAAATTTCAGAGACTAGAAATGCTAGTGATACAAAACTTAAAATGCAAATACGGGAAAACAGTTTGGATTCTTTCTTTGGATTTTCTCATCCTTACAATTAATTTACCACCTCCCCTTATTACAGATGAACCTTATGATTGCAGAGAAAATGAAAGGAAAACAACTCCAAAACTTCCTCCTCCCTGATCCACATCCCACAACAGAAAAGAACGTGCAATGAAAAATAAGCAGATAAAAAGAAACCTGTCCACAGCAATTGACCATGTGCTGTCTATAAAATCAGTAATAGTAAGTAAAGCTGCAGGCCAAGCCAATGCTGTTAAAAGAGTGTGTAGTACAGTCATCATAGCGCCTTGCTTCATCAACTCCAATGCAATTCCTGTAATTTAGTCATGTTGTCTATATCACACACTAATAATACAATTGTATATGGTCAGTGTATTACATCACCTGAAAGCAAAGTATAAAATTATTTACTTGACGTCAGCCAGTCCTGAATTGCAGTGCTTACAGCAATAAGATTCTTAGATTCCCACTGCAATATATACCTGAGAAAATTGTGAAATGTAAGGACAATTTATTCTTTTCTCATCGCCCATTGACTTGACTTGCTGGTTTAACTGTAATGCAACAAATTTTCTGAGTTTTGAGGCCTTTTTTCTTGGGGGAAGTTTTCAAGAATTTGATTTCTTGGAGGAAGTTTTCAAGAATTTGATTTCTTTTTGGGACTTAAAAGAGACTACTTCTTCGTCAGCAAAGTGACCAGCAGTTCCCGTCTGCGAAATCCACTTCTGATAACCACTCTGAATCAGTGGTTTCTGAGAATTTGTTGAATAGCGACTCTTTCCATTTTTCCGACACCGGTGATAATAATTCTCCCACGAAGATTCCGATTCAGATTCCGGTCAATTCTCGCCGCCAGCTCATCGCAATCCATCACCGCCGGCCAGATTTTCGTTAACTTCAAAGGCTGCAATCCAAGTTCTATTGTTCCTCTCTTTGTCCTGATATTTTAATAGTTTGATATTATAGCGTAATTGTATCTCCTTGCCTGCTTATTTTGTTCTTAAATCTTTAGTTAGTATTTCCCATAGCATTGANATTATTTTTCAGTAATTCATTTTATTTTTGTCGCTTGTTTTCGGGATAGTGCTTGCATAGTGACTCGTAGATTATAATGGCTTTGGTGAACGACAGTAGGGTAAAGTCTTGTCCTTGGGGGGTGCCAGCTCGGGGGAGGGGGTGCGGGGTAAGGGGGTAAGAGGGCTAAGGGAGCTACTAGGCTGAGAGTGGGATCTTGGAACATAGGAACTTTGACTGGAAAATCTGTAGAGTTAACGAAGATTCTCGAGAAAAGGAAGATTAATATAGCTTGTGTACAGGAGACTAGGTGGGTAAGAGATAAGGCGCGGGATGTGGGTAGTTTCAAACTATGGTATTCTGGGAGGGTGGGGGGCAGGAACAGGGTAGGTATCTTGGTTGATAA